TTTGACTCCGTCATCGTCATCATCAGCAGCATCATCAACGTCATCCGCATCAACATCATTACCATAATCATCCTCCTCCTCCTCCTCATCATCATCATCATCATCCTCATTTCTCTCCTATCCTTCTCCCCCCTCCCTTCCCCATCCCTCCTCCTTCCTCCTCCCCCTACCCTCCCTCCCTCCTTTCCTCCCTCCCTCGCCCCTGTGAACAACTGCGCCGCGTCGCGCCACCAGCCATGTCGGTCGGGCGGTGGGGGCATTCCGCCTGCGACTCCCCCACATGCTATGAGCCCGAATCTGTAACTACACCCCCGACGGCTGCTCTTTGCGTCGGCGGCCGGGCAGAGGCCACTGCTCCGGCGATCGGGCACCAGTGGGGCGCGCTAGAGGCAAAGCCCAACAGCTGCACAGCCCGCGGCCGTCCGATGTGGCTCGCGCTCGGGCGCCGCGCGCCTCAGCATCAGCCGTTTCTTTGAGGCAGCTGCACGAGTGCAGGGCGGCTGCCTCTGCAAACGGGGGGCTCTGGCTCATGAAGACTGGTACACTCCGTGGGGACTCTGGCTTGGCTTTGGCTTTGGCTCCGTGGGGGCTTGGCTCTACTCTTGAAAACGGGGGCGCTCTGGCCTTTGAAAGCTGGCACGGCGGGGGCAGTGGACAAGGAACCCTCAGACGAGGAACCCAGGGTCTGGAAGCCCGTCGAACTCCAGTCGTGGATCGGCCATGGACATCACCGCCGCCCTCGTCAGATGGAGGAGGAGGAGGAGGAGGAGGAGGAGGAGGAGGAGGAGGAGGAGGAGTAGGAGGAGTGAGGAGTGAGGAGGAGGGAGGAGGGAGGGAGAGGGGAGGAGGGAGGAGGGGAGGAGGATGAGGAGGATGAGGGAGGGGAGGGTGGGGAAGGAGGAGGGAGGAGTGCGGGGGCGGGAAGGAGGAGGGAGGAGGGAGTAGGAGGGAAGGGAGGAGGGAGAGGGAGGATGGGACGGGGAGGAGGGTGAGGATGGAGAGGGAGGAGGGAGGAGGGAGGACGGGGAGGAGGAAGGAGAGGGAGGAGGAGGAGGAGGAGGATGGAGGAGCGGAGGAGGAAGAGGAGGAGGTAGGAGGAGGATGAGGGAGTAGGAGGAGGAGGAGGAGAGGAGGAGGAGGGAGGGAGTAGAGGAGATAAGGAATCCTCCAGGGGCTGCAGTCTGCAGCCTCCTGGGCGCATTCCTCAACCAACGCGCCCCCCCCCCCGTGCTCCGTGGCCAGTGGCTCCACGCGTGCAGCCTTCTGCGCGGGTGGAGGGCGATCCTTCTTCACGGTTTGCCCCTAGCCTGGCACACCGCCAAAACCCATCCTCCTCCCTCCTCCTCCGCCTCGCTCCTCCTCCTCCTCCCTCCCTCCGCCTCCTCCTCCCGACCCCTCCTCCTCCTCCTCCCCTCTTCCCGTCCTCCTCCTCCTTTCCTCCTCCTCCTCCTCCTCCTCCTCCTCCTCCTCCTCCTCCTCCTCCTCCTCCTCCTCCTCCGCCCCTCTCCTCCTCCTCCTCCTCCTCCTCCCCTCCTCCCCCCTCCTCACCCCTCTGTCCCCTCCTCCTCCTCCTCCTCCTCCTCCTCCTCCTCCTCCTCCTCCTCCTCCTCCTCGCCCGACTTCCACTGGCCCAAACTTGCAGGGCCCGACAGGCACAGTGGTGCAGCAGCTGCCACGGGCGGCGGCCAGAGCACTTCCAATGTCGGGCTCTGGCGTGGCAGGGACTTGACCCTTCGGCTCCAGGAAGGCACTGAACATTTCCAAATAGGGCCCCCCCGCCTAAATAGAAAGCCCATAGGGGCACTCGTTTTTCAGGGGGGCATTCCCCGAAACGGTAAGGAGCCCGCCACCGGTGCGCAGGCTGGTCGCGGAGAGTCCTCAGGCTGCTTGCGTGGTCCATATGGGGTATCGTAAACCTGCTGGCCCCGGAAAGCTGCTGCTTGGGACGCGCGGCTCTGAAAGTTGCTGCTGGGCTGCTGTGATGTCTGTGTTGCTTGCCTCTTGCCTCTCCAGTCCCGTCTCCATTGTACTGTCAACCGCAAGGGGAGCCCACTTCGAAGGCGGCCCTAAAAGGCACCAACGAGACTCAAGATCCCAAGACGGTCGAACGTGATCCCAAGATACCTCTGGGGTTGCCCAGGAGGGCACGAGACGCCCGCGAGAGAGCGAAACATTGAAAACAATAGTGGCTCGAATGTTTTTGTCCCTCGCATGTTATTTCCCTAGAGTGTCCCCAAATCGCTCCAAGATGACCCCCAGAGCCTCCGAAACCGCCGAGGACAGCCCCAAGGTGGCCCCAAAAGGCCCAGGCAAGACAGCCACAGAGACCCCCAGGATGGTCCAAGGACTGCCGAAGCGGGCCCAGGAGGCCCCCAAGAGGGCCCTGACAGAGGCACAAGAGGGGGAAAACGAAGGGGCCTTCGGAGCATTTGCCTTACGTATTCTTTCAAAGACCCTTAGCATGCCCCCAAGAGGCACCCAGAGGCCCCCAAGACTCCCCCGAGAGGCCCCAGGAGGCCATCAAGGTGCCCTTCAGAGACCCCGGAAATGCCTCCAAAAAGGCCCTCGAGATGCCTCCCAAGAGACCCGACAAAATCCTCCCAAAGAGGCCCACTGTACGCGACCCAGTCAACGGGGCGGTTTTGGCCCAAAGTCACGATTGTTATCCCGAAGAAGCCGTAAGGGCCCCTCCAGATAGAGTAGCTGACATACGTACCGCGTTACGACTCTCAATGCTGCGCGACAGCTGGCCAAGCTCACAGGGAACGGGGTGGGTCGCGGGGTGGGTCGCGGGTGGGTCGCGGGTGGGACGACGACAACAACAACAACAACGCAACAACGCAACAACGCAACAAGCAGAATTCTCACCACAGATCCCCACTTCAGCCACGCACCCAGGGACAATGAATGACCGTTCGGCACCCTCACTCTGATGAATAACTACGCATACAAGTCACAACACGTCCTTAGAACATCTTCAGGTCGGTCATAAACAGACCAGGATGATTCGGAACCCAAGACCGCCCCCAAAGGGGCCTAGCAAGTCCGTCACCAAGAAACCAACGGAAGACTCCCCTCCAATATTGGCCCAATATCCCCAATTCTCCAAAGATGCTGCCAAGAGGTTCAGAGGTTCCCAAGACGGCCACGAGTCCCAAGACGGCACTGAGATGGCCGAGTAGCTTTCCAAGACGCTCCAAGAGGGCCTGAAGAGGACTCCCCAGGGGGCTCACACGACGTTCAACCCACGACGAAGCAATGGGATGGGCTTCGAGTGGCAGCTGGATCAGGCGCAGGCAACGATGGCCCAACATGCGCTCCCAGATTGTCGAAGAGAGCCCCAGGCCCCCAGAGGGCCCCCAGGAAGCCCGCGCGCCAGATCCGAGGACAGGGCGCCCTAGGGGGGGGCTCCTGGGAGTGGAGCGCTGTGCGATGCGAGCGACCCCCCCCCACCAAGAAAAACTGGCCTGATGCAGCTCGAGCCCTCGAAAAGGTCGCCGCGCCTCCGTCTGGCCTCTCCCTCCTCGTTCCCCGCCTCCTCCCCGGCCCGCTCCAGTTCCAGCTCCCTCTCTCCCTCCCGCCTTTTGGGCCGCCTCTCATCCTGACGCCGATCATGATCGAAGGAGAAAACGACAAAATATGGAGAGGAATCTGCAAGCCGAGAGAGAGGCGGGGGCTGGGCGGGCGGTCCCTGCCTCCGCCGCGTGCTTCCACCACTCCGACGCCCCCGCGTTGCCTCCCTTCCTCCCTCTTCATTCCCCCTCCTTTCTCCTCCTTTATCCCCCTCCATTATCCTCCTCCCCCTCCACCCCCTCCTCCCCCTCCTCCTCCTCCTCCTCCTCCTCCTCCTCCTCCTCCTCCTCCACCACCTCTTTATCCTCCTTTTCCTCCTCCTCCTCCTCCTCCCCCTCCTCCTCCTCTCCCCTCCTCCTCCTCCTCCTCCTCCTCCTCCTCCTACCCTCCCCCTCCCCCTCTTCCTCCCCCTCCTCCTCCTCCTCACTCCTCCTCCCCTTCTCCTCCTCCTCCTTCTCCCCCTCCTCCTTTTCCTCCTCCTCCGCCTCCTCCTCCCCCTCCACCTCCTCCACCCCTCCTCCTCCTCCTCCTCCTCCTCCCTCTCCTCCTACCTCCTCCTCCTCTCCTCCTCCTCCTCCTCCTCCTCCCCTCCCCCTCTTCCTCCCCTCCTCCTCCTCCTCCTCCTCCTCCTTCTCCTCCGCCTCCTTCTCCCCTCCTCCTTTTCCTCCTTCCTCCTCCTCCTCCTCCTCCTCCTCCTCCTCCTCCGCCTCCCTCCTCCCCCTCCTCCCCCTCCTCATCCTCCACTTCCTCTCCTCCTCCACCTCCTCCTCTTTCCTCCTCCGCCTCCTACTCCTCCTCCTCCTCCTCCTCCTCCTCCTCCTCCTCCTCCTCCTCCTCTTTCCTCCTCCTCCTCCTCCTCCTCCTCCTTCCTCCTCCTTTTCTCCTCCTCCTCCTCCTTGCAGGAGGTGGGCGCCATCGCGAACCTGTTCCTGGCTGGCGAGGATCGAAGGACACACAACTGCATTGGCATAATCTTTCGGAGTTCCGTGCGGATTACCTGGATCGGCGCTGGACCGCGGAAGTTTATGTGCAATGCCGTTCGCTGTTCCTCTAGAGGAGACGGCCCACGCGTGGGCGGCCGTGCTCTTCGGCGACCACACCCCTGAGGGCAAGCTGCCGATCGGGATGCCGCAGACGAAGCTGGACCAGATCCACCCCAAGAAGAAATCCGTCCCCTACTCCGAGGTCGGGCGGGGTTAGGATTGGTATACATCGCTCCAGAGCGTGCCAGGAACGCTCTTAGAGCGTTCCAGGGCGCTCTGGAGCGGCCGCGGCGCCCGATTCATCCTCTAGAGCCGCTGGATTTCAGAGATCCCCGATACATCGCAGTCCGATGTTGTCCTGGTTGTAGCTTGCCACGAGGGGTTGGGGACGTCCTACCGTTCGAAGCAGTTCAAGTGGGCGTTCCCCTTCGGCCACGGGCTCTCCTACACGACGTTCTCGTACGGCGAGCCAGAGGCTTTCCTGGGCGGCAGCGGCTCGGACGACTGCGACAAGGCCTGGCGGCATGCAGAAGGGATGATGATGATGATGATGATGATGATGATGATGATGATGATGATGATGATGATGATGATGATGATGATGATGATGATGATGATGATGATGATGATGGAGGAGGAGGAGGAGGAGGAAAGAGGAGGAGGAAAGAGGAGGAGGAAAGAGGAGGAGGAGGATGGGGAGGAGGAGGAATAGGAAGAGGAGGAGGAGGAGGAGGAGGCCGAACGAGACGCGAACACCGACTACCTCCGCACCAAGTACGACCAGGGCATGGCCTACGTTGAAGGGGCTCTCAACAGCTACTGTGTGTCCCACGAACTGCGGGACGAGCACCCTTTCTACATGAGCCAGCGACAAACTACTCAAACAACTTCTTGGCTAACATGTTGACCGACCCCAGGAGCCGCAGACACGACGACATGCATGACCAGGCAGTGGTGCTGCAGCATAGCAGAGGTATTCCTACGGGCATCAAGGTATCTATACGACACAACCCTACGTGCGCGCTAATACCATTCCTCGTCACCGACCTACAGAAGGAAACCACAATCGAGGCAATGGTCAAGATGGCCGAGCTCATCACCAACCTGACCCCCGTGCCTGAGAGCAAGGCGCAGAACCACCAGAACCGACTGCCGACACCAGACCCACCGACTGTATACGACCTACTGCCACCGACCGACTCTCACAGCGGGACCGCACCACGGCAATTCGGACACCTGGATCAACAGTCATCGACTTCAAGACTGAGTGCAGTTGAGCAGACCAACGAGGATAACTTGCTGCAGCCCAAATGGACCACGGCCCCGACTGGCAGAACGGCAGCTAGCAACGCCCCCGGCCACCAAGCACCACGCCAGACGCAGCAGCACGCCGTCGGCGAAATCAGCATGGCTGCAACGACCCGCAAGATGATCACGGACCATGACGCCGGAGGGGACGATCCCCACACCGCCGAAAGCAAACCGGCAACGACGCCGCCCTCAGACGGACATCGCAACATCGATGCCTCCTCCCCCTCCTCCTCCTCCTCCTCCTCCTCCTCCTCCTCCTCCTCCCCCCTCCTCCTCCTCCTTCTCCTCCTCCTCCTCCTCCTCCTCCTCCTCCTCCTCCTCCTCCTCCTCCTCCTCCTCCTCCTCCTGGGGAGGGGCGGTGGCGCCCGTGCCGGCCCCTCGGCCCCTCCGGGGCCCCCCCCGCGGCCGCGGCCATGTCACGGGCTCGAACGTGAGCGTGGCCCGGACCACCTCGGCGGGGCGGCGGGCACGGCGCCGCACGGCGGGGGGGGGGGCGGGGCGGGGCGGGGAGGCGAGGGGCAGGCGAGGTAGGGGGTAGGGGGGGGGAAGGAGGAGGGGAGAGGGGGGGGGGGCGCACAGGCGAGGAGGCGGGGAGGGAGGAGGGGGAGGAGAGGGGGGAGCAGCATGCACGGAGAAGGTAGCAAACGGAGGAGGAGGAAAAGGATGAGGAGGAGGAGGCGGGGGAGGAGGAGGAGGAGGAGGAGGATGCTGACGATGACGATGATGACGATGACGGTGGTGATGATGATGCTGATGGTGATGACGGCAATGACGATTATGCTAGTACACGGTAATGACACTGCTGGTGGTGATGACGGTGATGGTGATGTTACTGTTGTTGATGGTGCTGGTGATGGTGATGTTGGTGGTAGTGGCGATGCTGACGATGTTGATGATCCGAGCCACGTTCTGGACCCCCGCCTGCTTGAGGATGCCGCTGCACGGCTTGGCGAAGTCCTTCATCAACCCCTCGCGATGCAGCCGCAGGCCATGCAGTAGTGGACCTGCAGGGTCGCGTCATAATCCGCCAGGTGCGTCTCGCGCGCCTTCTGCAGGCCCACCTGGGCGTCCCAGCTCAGCTCCCCGCCGGAGGGCGAGGCCTCCTTGGCCTCCAGCTCCCCGCGCGGCTCCCTCAACCAGGCGTCCGATTTGTGCCTCGGCGCCCTCGCTCTGCACTGCTCGCACTTGAAATGCTTCGCGTCCGGGCCCTCTACGATGATGCGCTTGGTTTCCGCAACGAGCTGCTTGCGCTTCTCGAGCTTCGCCCCCTTCTGGCGCACTTTGGTGGTGGACTGCTGGGATGGCTCCGCGTCCATTGCCGCCGTGAACGTCGCGTAAACCCTCTTGCGGATCTGCGCCGCAATCTCCTCCGCGACCGTGTTCCTCCGCACCTCGTTCTGGGGGGCCTGAACCTCCTCCGCGATGCCCTCCACGAACTCGTCGGCGAGGTGGTTGCCCACGTAGTCCCCCATGTCCACTCCCGCCTCGATAGCAACCGGAACCGACATATGGCTCTCGATCTTCGCGACCACAATCTCCTTTATCTCGGCCGCTTCCCGGTATCGCTCCCAGAAGTCGTCGTGCGTCATGGGCACCTTCCCTTCGCGAATCCGATCCACACCTCGGGCGACGTAGCTGGAGTCCGTGATGTGCTTGATCTTCGTGCGCGGTCGCATGTGCTCGAGCATCTCGACCATCGCTGCGAGCTCGCCTCGGTTAACACTCTGCCGCCAACCTGCCAAGCCCCTGAAACTGCCTTCGCTCAGCTCCGAGCTGGGTACGATTCTGCCCCGAGCGGTTCTTCTCGTCCACGGTCATCGGAATTCTCGCCCCCCAAAGAGACGCCTGCCGTGACAACCCGCTCGTTGACGCGTGGGCCTCTCCGACCACTTCGCGCAGCTCTTTTCCTGGCTCAGGTGGCGCCGTGAACTGCGTCCAGCTCTTGGGCAACATGCCTCTGAAACACAGGCGCGGCTGGATCTCGATCGGGGAGACGTAAGACCCGGGCACGGGGGACTCGGAAATCCCTGACGAGGTCGTCAAAAAAATGACGAGGCCGAGCCTGCATTTTGACGAGGCCTCCCGCTGCAGACATCCCACGAAACTCCTCCTCGTCAAAATCCGAGTCGCGGTCGTCAAAAAACGATGACGACCCCGAGTCCTGGCAAACCCGGGTCTTACGCTCCCCCGACTCGACCCCCTCGTCGGCCTTCTCCTCCGAGCACCTGGACTTCTCGCGCTCGAGGACGATGCCGCTGCGCCAGCGCTCCCACGCGCGATGCCCCCAGGGTTTCTGGCTCCTCCTCGCGCCTGGGCCTCGGCGCGCCCTCGGCTTCGATCCCCGCGCCGACGACCCGCTGCCGCGGCCAGACACCTCCCGTCGCGAAGATCGCCAGCATGGCCCCGGCCTCGTCGAACACGACCTGCTTCTTCTCGAGCCTCCTCGGCAAAAGCCTCTCGCGGAGGGGAGGTCCGCGCCTCCCTCCAGGGGGCCCCTCCTCGCCCGTGTAGATTCCCCGCTGCCTCTTGGCCCACCGCCATCGACCCATGGTGTCCGCGAGCGCCGCGTTCAACCCGCTGGCGCCCGCCTCGTCGCCCAACTCCCTGGGGGGGTCGCCTCCGAAGATCTCGCCGCTGTCTGAACCCCGGCGCCGCGGGCCGCGAGGCGCCCCGTGCCCAGGTCGAGCCGCGCGCAGACCATCGCCCTGGTGGCTCCTGCAACTCCTCGCCGTCGATCACTCTCCTTCTTGGCCTTCATCTCCTGTGCGATCCCCCCCGAAATCCACTCAGTTTCGCGCCTCCCCATGCCCTCGCGGATGATGTGCATCCAGGAGTCCAGCAGCGAGAAGACCGTTTCACTGTTTAGGGTCGCCTCGCACCAGCTCCAGCTGCAGCAGAGTGGCGAGGGGCCAGGCCCAGGGGAGGGGCTAGCGACGACGGCGACGACGGCAACGACGACGACGGGGACGACGTTGACGACGACGACGACGACGACGGCGGCGGCGGCGACGACGACGGTAGCGACGAGTTGAGGCCTGGCTAGCGACCGCGACGCGCCAAAGAATAAACACAACACAATCTCGGGCCAGGCGTGCGACGCCTCACCAGCTGCATCACAATCGCCTTGGCCTGTGACGCCTTCGCCTCACCTCGGGGATCTACACTGACCCGGGCCAATCCAAACCCGGGTCAATCGGGCTTTGCAGAACCTTGCAAGGTCCTGCACGCGAGCCCGTGTCAATGCAGCCTTGGCTCTGCAGGATTCTGCAAGATCCGGCGCTCGGGCTGACTCCAGTTTGCATCGACCCCGTCTCAAGGCTCCCGGTCACCAGGCCTAGACGCCTCCGGCGGCTGCCAAGTAGCTCGCCGATCGGCTCCTCACATGTCAGAGCCGCGGCAGGGGCAAGCAACGCTGGTTTCCCCTCGGAATCGAAGCTCGTGGCACCGCCGCCCTGAGTTGAGAACAGGGACAACACTTCGAGCACGAGACAATGAAATCACGGGTCAGGTTGCCCTGTGGTTCCGTACAGCACCACGCCAAGGGGCGAGCATATATGATCCTGGGTCGAGGGTTCACAGGTGGCACCTCCCCCTAGATGGGATGGGTCCCAAGGTTCCACAAGCCCACCCCCGCAGATGGGATGGGGGGGGGGGGGCGACGCCGACGCACCGACGCCGACGCCGACGCAGACGCCGACGCAGACGCCGACGCCGACGCCGACGCCGACGCCGACGCCAACGCCGCCGCCAACACCGACGCCGACGCCGACGCCGACGCCACCGCCTCCGACGCCAACGACGACGAAGACGAAGACGACGACGACGACGACGACGACGACGACGGACGACGGACGACGGACGACGGACGACGGACGACGACGACGACGACGACGACGAACCACCCCACACCCACAGGGGAAGGGGAAGGGCGGGGGGTGCACTGGCAACCTCCACCACGCCACGCCCACAGGGGGGGGGAACGGTCTCATTCGCGAGGCCTTCGCGATGCTCACGAGCGTACCCATCCAGCGGGGGGGGGGGGGGGCAGGATCTATTGGGGTGGGGGGGGAGGGGGGGGGGGCAACCCTGGACAATTTTCTTGATCAATTTTACGTGCGCCGCGCCGTGCCCCTGGATGCGTGGCCCTCGGTTGGGCCAAAGTGAAGGCGATGAATAAAGAAGCAAGGCGCAAGAGGATGAGGGGAGAGAAAGATGGAGACGACGCGGCAACGGCCAAGAAGCAAAACTATCCATAGCAGATGTTTGCATATCCACAGCATTATCTGACGTTGCAGCTCCTCGCAGAGATCTGCTAGATTCAACACTGAGTAAGAATACCACAGAGGTCCTCACATCAGCCAGCGTGGGCCCCAAACAGTGCAGTACTGCCATGTGGAGGTGGAAGCTGCGCGGTGTGAGGTACGCGGTGCGGGCGATGAAGGGTGAAGACAGCGCGGTGCAGGCTGTGTGGTGCAAGCCGTGCCGTGCAAGCTGGCCGGTGTGCAAGCTGGAGCTGAACGCCGCATGGGCTGTGTGATGGGCCTGTCTTCCACCACCACCATCATAAGTTGGAGGGGGGAAGGAGGAGGAGGAGGAGGAGGAGGAGGAGGAGGAGGAGGAGGAGGAGGAGGAGGAGGAGGAGGACCCCCTCCCCCTCCAACTTATGGTGGTGGTAGTGGAACAAGCTGCGCGGCGCCCACGACGCGGCACGGCCGGCAGCGCTGCGCAGCCTCGGCGCACCCTGCAGGCGCGGGGCGCCCACGAGGGCGCCCGCGAGCCGTCACGGGCCGCCGCGCGGCGCGACCTCCGCGCCCCTCCCCGAAGCGCGGGGCGCCCCCGAGGCGCTCGTTAGGCAGCACGGGGCGGCACGGCGGCGCGGCCTCGGCACGCAGTGCCCCTCCCCCCCCGAAGCGCGGGGGGCGCCCACGAAGCGTCACGAAGCGGCGTGGGCGGCGCGCGCGGCGACGCGGCGCAACCTCCGCATACCGTTGGGTCGGGCACGTCCCCCTACAGGCGGATTCTGGACGAGGAATAAACAACCGTCACAGCATGCCCCCGAATAGTAAAACATGTGTTCTAAAAGATCGTCCCCCAGACTATCTTTAGCGGGGGCCGGCGGCGAGCGAGGGGGGAAGTGAGAAGGGGCGGGCCTTCTCAGAAGGCCCGGAAATTCCTGGGCCTCCTGGGCAGGTTTGTAAACCTTCCCCCGAAGACGCGATAAGCCTCGCAGAAGGCGCGAGGGCCTCCGAGAGGCCCCGCCGCCTTCTGCGAGGGCCTTCTCCTTCCCACATCCCCCCCTCGCTCGCCGCCGAGGGAGCCGCCGTGGTTGCAACCCGGCGGCCCGACGGGGCACAGTTTTTTGGTCGGCGGGTCGAGAGCGAGCCTCCTCCGGCTCAGAGCTAGGCGGGCCGCGCAGAGCACGAATCGGGGAGACAGGGCGCGGGCGGGCGGGGCCTCAGGCGGAGGAGGAGGAGGAGGAGGAGGAGGAGGAGGAGGAGGAGGAGGAGGAGGGAGCCGCCGTGGTTGTAACCCAGCGGCCCCAACGGGGCACGGCCCGGGCCTCCAAAGCCCCCGGTCCCTCCCTGCAGATCACCGGGCCCCGGCGAGCCGCGCGCCCGCCCGGCCCGCCACCTCGAGGCCCTCGTCGCGCAGCGCCGCCTCCGTGGCTGCCCGCCCCGCCTGCGCGCGGCAGCCCGCGCCGCCCCCCCCTCGTGCTTCTCGCTGCCTCTCCGGGTCCAATCGCGCGTCCCGCCGCCCCTCCCCCCCTCTCCTCCCGAGCCCCTGGCTCCCTCCCTCCTGCGCGTCTCGCCCTCCCCGCCCTCTCCCTCTCCACGCCCTCTCCCAGCCGCACTGTCCGCCGCGCTGGGCGGGCGCACGACCGCCTCACGCTCGCGCCTCTCGTGGCGGGGCTCTCTCGCTCTCCTCGTGCCCCCGCCTGCCCCGTCTGGGGCGCTCCTCGTCGGCATCCTCCCCCGTGCTCGGTCGCCCCCTCGTCGCCCTCGTCCCTTCCTCGATCGACCGCCTCGTTCTCGATCGTTCCTCGTTTTGCCTTCCCCTTTCATCCGCCCTTCCCATCCCGGAGAGTATGCGCGTCGGGGCCCCCGTGCCGCTGCACCCTCTACGGGTGTGCTCTTAGCATATTGTGGGCTCGCTGCTGTTGCGGCTGCTTCCCGTTCAAATATCCAGATATTATTACACATAACATGACTGTCGTACTGTCGCTGCTACTAGCCCATCGGTGCACCTAGCTCAGCATGCACTTGTCCATATACGTAGATTCCCATGTTTGCTCCCGACCTGTGAACCCATTCGACCATGCTACGCATGCGTGATTGCGTCAATCACGTACGTATACATAGCTGTCTGTAAAAGAACAAAAATGTATACATGACATATACCTATGTATACACAAACGCTACGACGTACAATCAAAACATGGATTAAGGTCGGGTTGTAAGGGCGCAAGACCTTTGGAGGCCGAAGATGGGATTTGCTGGGCGGCGGGCCACCAGTGAAAACAGCAGAGGACGGGCCGCAGAGGCCAGGACGCAAAGGTACCCTAGATGAAGGCGCGCGTCCTTACTAAGCGCGTTGTCTGTACACGTACACGCCTGCTTATTTCGCTTGGGAAGGTGAAGAAGGAGGAAGAGGAAGGGGGGCGACAGCAACCTCTCACGAGTAACCCGTGCACTGCGTGGCGATACGCGGCAAAGACTGACCAATGGATCCATCTACAACAACACCCTCAAGTAACAAAGCACCGGCGAGAAGAGGAGAAAGGCAGGAGGAGGACAAGGAAGGACAGCAAAACGCTTGCTTATGTTCATACGTATACGTCAAAGCGTGATCCGACTTATGGGTATACTGCATCGTATGCGTTTACATATAAACCTCCATCTGATGACCACAATGCCTGTCTAGTACTGGTGTCGATAATGGCTCGCCTCTGCTGCGGATACTTACACTTGCAGCTCCTCTTCTGCTCCGACTTATATAACTGCACGCATGAAACCACGACTACTACTGTTGCGGTTGCTAGTGATATCAGTGATGCTACTGCAGTTGCTGCTAGTCCCACTCCCACGGATGATAGCGCTAGACATAATGATCAGTGGCATCAGTCGAATCACCGCAGCCATCGCCAACTCCACAACCACCACCACCACAGCAGCGAAGTACTGATGGAACTGCGATGCGTTACTTAAGTTGTACTCTATTACTCTCTTACGTTGCTACGCACTTATGTTGCTACGGCCGCTAAACCTACGACGCCGCTGATCCTGTCACTGCCACAACCCATACCCCTCCCGACGACTGCAAACACGGCTTCGCGATCGACGACTGCAATCAAATAACACAACAACCGCGACCACCACACATACCAAGCGCACAAGTATGACCAGGACTGATAATTCTACTGAAATTGCGACAACGACGACAACCGCAACCAAGAGTACAGCGTCGAAAACTGGTGGGACACCCGCGACGACAAACACTACTACTACAGACACGAACACAGTTTGAGACCTATCTTGAAACTGCAACCTCTTACCACTGTATGACCGTGTGCTACAGCCACTGCGAAGGCCACGGAACGCAGATACAACCGCTACTGTGACCGTCGCCAGTGGTGCTGCTCCTGCAACGATCGATGCTGGTGCTAGTTACTTGTCGCCACCTGGCCAAGTACCAAGTCCAGTTGCAACTGGCAAAAACTATCACACGGCTCCTCTGACGCGAATCCTCGCTGTCGGCCCTAACTGCCGACGTTACGACCAACCCGAAACAGTTCCTACCGCTACTGCTCATGTTATCAAGCGAACCGTGCCGATGATGCAAAGCGGAGGCAGCTCTCTCTCTCTCTCTTTCTCTCGCTCTCTCCCCTTTGGACGAACCTACGTTCAAGAGCGTAACAAAAGGCAACTAGCCAATACTGTTGGTAGAACACAATTACCCATCCAAATTTCTCAAGGCAAACACGCCTTCGAAACCACAGACATGCCAACGCCAATGTCCCGCTACGAAAGGTTAGCGTGACTGGCGTTCCTCCTTTCGCATCGCCCCGTGCTGCTTGCGCAACCCATCATCATCCTCATCCTGTCTATCGTTGCCGACATCGCCCCGCCTTGTGTGTCACACGTGAAACAACACTGCCTCGTTCTCAACCGTCGCTGTCTCGCAGCACCTTGCACCCATCAGAGCGCCCGTCGCCCTAGATATGTGCGCCTTCGGTGCCTTCAACACCTTCGACATCGCGGCAGTGGCGGCACTCCGCGACTTTCGCGGTGATGCCACCACCTGTTTCGAGACGCCCAGAAATCAATTGATAGCTGCCCAATGCCCAATACACTTGTCTCGCCCACCCTTCATCCCGGCGCACATGAGATGTTTTTCTCTGGCAATGTCGTGGTCGGAACATGCGGCGTGCATACATCTCCTGGCGCCATCAGGGAAGGAAGGGTCAACCGATCCCGACAACTCACCACCTGCCTGTCTCAACCTGTACCGTGCGACTGTCTCGCATGTCCCTCGAATTCCGTCACTCCATTCCCGTTCTTCCAGAGTCGACCAGGATAGGGAGGATGCGCGGTAAAGGTGCAAATACCTTGGAACGCCATGTTGACGTCTTCCGTGTGGAGCGCAACATAATACCGAAGGCTGCCAAATACCGAAGGGGCAAGGATGCAAGGGCTGCCTTGGGAACTTGTCCCATCCTTACTATCATGGTTGACTTTGTCTCCACTCCCCTTCGCCCCTCACGAGCGAAATCGCACCGGGGATCAACATCAACCGATGGTTTTCCTGGCATCGTGGCAGGCGTTTCGCAACTGCCCTGTCTTTCTCTCTCTCTCTCTCTCTCTCTCTCTCTCTCTATATATATATATATATATATGTTTCTCTCTCTCTCTCTCTCTATCTATCTCTCACTTTCTCTGTTCAGCTTGTTTCATCTAGCCTCGCAGCAAGATCTGTACTCTGTGTGCCGACGTCTGCCCTCCACTCTCTACACTTTCCACACTCTCTCTCGTTCTCTCTCTCTCTCTCTTTCTCTCGTTTTTGTTTTGTTATCTCTCTTTTTGCTCTCTCTTTTTTTTATTCTCTCTATTTCTATATATATATATATATATATATATATATATATATATCGCTTGTATTGTTACTTGTTCTCTCTCCCTCTCTCTCTCACACCGCCTTTCGCGCTCTCTCTCTCTCTCTCTATCTATATTTCTTTCTCCCTCTCTCTCTCTCTTTCTCTCTGTTTCTCTCCCTCCCCCTCTCCCCTTCCCTGTATCACTCTACGTGCATACCTATACGTATGCGCATATTTTTACACACATAATTACACCAGAACCATGCGCGCGCATCGCGCGCCTAGGCTCTAGCCCGGAGGGACGAAGCTCCCGCGGGCCTCTACCTGTGAGAATGGAGGGGCCGGATCGAGCTGATGAGCCACCTTGAGGGAGGGCGGAATTGGGGAGATGGTCGGCGGAAGCAAGAGGCGGACGCAGGCTCCAGGACGGATGTCCGCCTCCCCCTCCGCTTCCCCTCCTCCTCCTCCCTCCGCGCGCGCCCGCTTCGGCAGCTGGTTCGTCCCCTCCGCGCGAGCGCGGCCGGCGACGAGCCTCACGTGGGCCCGCCTGACCAGGCTTTGAGACCTGGCGAAAACTTACCTTGGGTGAGCTTCTGGATCGCCGTCCTGCCTGCTTCTGTGGGGGCTTGGCAGGGATCCACGAGCTTCTTGGCAGCACGAGTGGTCCAGGCTCCACAACGGGAGCCCACCAAAAAACCCTCGTCCCTGCTCCTCTCTCCTCCTCCACCTCCTCCTCCCTATTTCCTCAGTGATCGACGGTTACGCGTGTCTGCGCGCTCTTCCCCTCGCTCGGACGTCCATTCCCCGTGCATTTGTCGGTTTCGAGGTTGCCTGCGTGCGTGCGTGCGTGCGTGAGTGCGTTTTTGCTCGATGATCCAAGATGCTGCTCCTGGCCTGTCTTGCACAAACTTATATATTCTCGCTTCCACTGGTCAGCTCCAGGATCAGCTGAACGTCCCGATGCTGGTCGCAGGGGATTGCAACCCAGCCCCAGTCGCAGGGGATTGTACAAGTCGGAGCTTCTCACGAGAGCGACCATGTTTTCGTGCGCTCCCGAAATGGCCACCTACAGAACCAAGAAGACAAACTCAGTCCTGGACTACTTTGTTCCAAGGCCGCGCTGACGGCGTGTTTGATTAACGGTGCGACTAGGGATCCTGTTTTCGTGACACCGAGCTCACGCAAAACAGAATGTAGAAAATCACGAAACACCGTTCCTACATTCCAAATATGCGAATGCATCGAACGCACACGACGCAGCGAGTTGTAGGAGCACACGAACCACGCGTTCCTACCATTTGTATTGGCCACGAGCCAAGCCTTCCTACAACTGGTTTTCCTACTTTGCCGTCAGCTAACACACCGTCAGCGCATCTAAGGCCGTTGCCAGCCAAAGTTTAGTTCCCTGGCTCCGCGCCCCCCGCCCTCTGTCCTCGCGCCCTCTCTCCTCATAGACCCGTGCTCCTGGATGTCGCTGCACGGCGCAGCTTGTCCGCCCCCGCGCTTCTCGGGCCGCAGAAGCTGCCCGCGCGCGCGCCCGTGGGCCCTCACCTCCTGGAAGTGAGTTGGCACCGGACCGGCGCCGCAGTCGCGCATGCTCTGCGACGCGTCGAAGACGCCGCGCCGCCCTCTCTCCGACCTGCAGCAGAGCGCCATCCTGGGCCACGTCTACTCCGCGCCGGCCCGGGACGTGGAAGCTGCTACCAAACAGAGAAACGAGCGCGCCCCTCAGACCCAGCAAGGCCTCACCGGGGCTCGCCCGCCCCAGGTCCTCTGGGCCCCGGCGGAGGCCAAGAGCGCTAGGAGCGGGGCCGGCAAAATCCACCGTTTCAGGTTCCGGAATCACCTGGAACCGCTCCGGGGTGATTCTGGAAGCTTGACACTGACCGTTTCAGGTTCCAGTATCACCCTGGAACCGTTCCGGGGTGAAAACCCATCTGGACCCATTTTGAGCTCCTCCCAGAAGGCTTCTTTCAGCTCCTTCCTGGGCTCCTGTAGGAAGCCCTTATTGGGCTCCTTCCAGAAGCCCTTAGTGGGCTCCTTACAGAAGCCTTTAGTGGGCTCCTTACAGAAGCCCTTAGTGGGCTCCTTTCACAAGCCCTTAGTGGGCTCCTTACAGAAGCCCTTAGTGGGCTCCTTACAGAAGCCCTCACTGGGCTCCTTACAGAAGCCCTCACTGGGCTCCTTACAGAAGCCCTCGCTGGGCTCCTCGCTGGGCTCCTTGCAGAAGCCCTCACTGGGCTCCTTTCAGAAGCCCTCACCGGACTCCTTACAGAAGCTCTGATTGAGCTCCTCACAGAATCCACCAAGAGAGCCGTTTTGCGTGTGGGGAGGGTTCCAGATGGATTTTCACCCTGGAACGGTTCCGGGGTGAAAATCCATCTGGAACCTCACGACGCTGCGCGGGAAGGCCCAGCCGCGAAAAACAAGCTCCCCAATAAGAGATTTCATTTGGAAAATGACAATTTTGGGAGCTCGGGCGCACCCCCCCCATCCACGACAGAGCCGTTTTGCGTCGGGAGAATGGATTTTCACTCTGGAACGGTTCCGGGGTGAAAATCCATCTGGAACCTCCCGACTCTGCGCGGGAGGGCCCAGCCGCGAAAAACAAGCTCCCCAATAAGAGATTTCATTTGGAAAATGACCATTTTGGGAGCTCGGGTACACTTCCCCCCATCCACGACAGAGCCGTTTTGCGTCGGGAGAGGGTTCCAGATGGATTTTCACACTGGAACGGTTCCGATGTGAAAATCCATCTGGAACCTCCCGATGCTGCGCGGGAGGGCCCAGCCGCGAAAAACAAGTTTCCCAATAAGAGATTTCATTTGGAAAATGACCAATTTTGGGAGCTCGGGTACACCCCACGACAGAGCCGTTTTGCGTCGGGAGAGGGTTCCAGATGGATTTTCACCCTGGAACGGTTCCGGGGTGAAAATCCATCTGGAACCTCCCGACGCTGCGCGGGAGGGCCCAGCCGCGAAAAACAAACTCCCGAATAAGAGGTTTCATTTGGAAAATGACCATTTTGGGAGCTCGGGTCCCCATCCACGACAGAGCCGTTTTGCGTCGGGAGAGGGTTCCAGATGGATTTTCACACTGGAACGGTTCCGATGTGAAAATCCATCTGGAACCTCCCGATGCTGCGCGGGAGGGCCCAGCCGCGAAAAACAAGCCCCCCAATCAGAGATTTCATGTGGAAAATTACAATTTTGGGAGCTCGGGTACACCTCCCCCCATCCACGACAGAGCCGTTCTGCGTCGGGAGAGGGTTCCATATTGATTTTCACACTGGAACGGTTCCGGAGTGAAAATCCATCTGGAACCTCCCGACGCTGCGCGGGAGGGCCCAGCCGCGAAAAACAAGCTCCCAAATAAGAGATTGCATTTGGAAAATGCCCATTTTGGGAGCTCGGGTACCCCCCCCCCCCATCCACGACAGAGCCGTTTTGCGTCGGGAGAGGGTTCCAAATGGATTTTCACACTGGAACGGTTCCGGGGTGAAAATCCATCTGGAACCTCCCGACGCTGCGCGGGAGGGCCCAGCCGCGAAAAACAAGCTCCCAAATAAGAGATTTCATTTGGAAAATGACCATTTGGGAGCTCGGGTACACCCCCCCCCATCTACGACAGAGCCATTTTGCGTCGGGAGAGGGTCCCAGATGGACTTTCAACCTGGAACGGTTCCGGGGTGAAAATCCATTTGAAACCTCCCGACGCTGCGCGGGAGGGCCCAGCCGCGAAAAACAAACTCCCCAATAAGAGATTTCATGTGGAAAATGACAATTTTGGGAGCTCGGGTGCACCCCCCCATCCACGACAGAGCCGTTTTGCGTCGGGAGAGGGTTCCAGATGGATTTTCACCCTGGAACGGTTCCGGGGTGAAAATCCATCTGGAACCTCCCGACGCTGCGCGGGAGGGCCCAGCCGTGAAAAACAAGCTTCCCAATAGGAGATCTCATGTGGAAAATTATCATTTTGGGAGCTCGGGTACACCATCCCCCATCCACGACAGAGCCGTTTTGCGTCGGGAGAGGGTTCCAGATGGACTTTCACACTGGAACGGTTCTGGGGTGAAAATCCATCTGGAACCTCCCGACGCTGCGCGGGAGGGCCCAGCCGCGAAAAACAAGCTCCCCAATAAGAGATTTCATTTGGAAAATGTCAATTTTGGGAGCTCGGGTACACCCCCCCCATCCACGACAGAGCC